TTAAATGCGAGGTTAGGCTTATGCTAGATGTTTCCGGAGGTCATGGGTGTAACCCCAGGTTTGGCACTACTATATCGGATGCTGTTGTTGACGTGTCGGTCAAATATGGTAAACCTGGCGATAGGTTTAACCTGGAAAGAGTTGCCGTATTTAGCGTGGATTCTGCGTCCAGTATTCGAAAACTTGTTTTCAATCAAGTGCCTTGATTCAAGTTGCCTAAAATGTTGCATTGATCAGATTATAATTTTGTGGAACAGCCTAAACAGTCTTTTTGCATTTATTTGCATTTTGCATTTTTTTGTTGCATTTTTGCATTTTTTTGTTGCATTTTTGAGTATAAAATTAATTTCTACAATTTATTAATATACAGTCTATTTCATATCATATGATATACACGATGTTGTGTACGAAATATCATTGAAAATGGCATTTGAAGAGTATCTGGTGTTTATGGGATCACTTCTGGGCCTATCATTTGGTGTATCGGTACTAATGTTTACTAATCTAATCACACAATTAATAAATAAATATGTTACATGTATCAAACATAATAAGATTTTCAATATTAACGTTATTAGTTTACAAAACAACCTTATATTTAATAAAACGCATAGAAATCGACATTTTATATTAAATAGGGGTTCGGTTCACATAAACCGTCGATTCACACAAAGCGCTCGCATTAGTACAATGTATGCAAACAGTTGTTCATAGAATATATTTTATTTTTTTAAATCCAATATGTTTTATATTGATATCGTTTTATTGTTTATAAATAATTAACAAAAATAATTCAGATTATAATTGTCAATAAAAACTAATTATAATATTATACTGTTTGGATATATTGACTTTGTCAAACATTTAAACATTGATTACACAATAGTTGTAAATTTACAACTTGTAATACAATGTAATCTATTTAAATTTCAAACACTTGAAATGTGCCACGGTTATATAACAATCAATATAACCTTCAGGGGTTTGAGCGCATTGTTTACGTAATTCAGTAAAAGCGTTGGCATTCAATGGGCCGACAGCTTTGGGTCGCAACAAGACATCCATCAATACGTTTCGCATGAATGAAAATTTTAACGATTTTTTGTCGCTAACCATAAATATTGGTCCAAAACGTCCAAATGTTTCGTATTCTAGTTAATAATAAATACAATTAAAAAATATACAAGATTAATTAAATACAATATAATGTAAATAAAGCATAAAATAGATTACCATCCAAGATTTCCGCCCGCAATTGACGCCAGTGTTGATCACAATGAAACGAGTCAACCACATCTAACCCCGATTCAATGCAATCGCTTTTAATTTGGATCAACTGTTTGTCCAATGGTTTGGTCTCATATTGTAGTTCAAACTCCAGGCGCTGTTCATCAGTAAACCGGGACATGAGGTCTGGTATGAGTACAATATTGGCCACAAACTGGCCGTTAGGGGCCAACAGTCTGTTCACAACACCCCATAGTTGGCGCTTATCGGCGATCCATTGTATGGCATAATTAGATACGATTAGCGATACATTAGACTCGAGGGCCCGTATCTCTGGTCTCAACTCATCCCAGGGTTGACTCATGTCTTGCAGCCAATAGTCGATCGATTGGATACTTTTGTGTTTCTGATTGGCGTATGATATCATCCGGTGGTCAATATCTACGCCAATAATACGCTTGTGTTTCACCGATTGAGCCAACAGTTCGCACAAATATCCGGTTCCGCACCCGATGTCCACAATTGTGTCGTATGAACTTAAATAATAACAATTTATGTTGAACATGTTTATAATGCAAAATTAATGTTTTATTTGTAACGTGAAAGTGAAATATGTCTTAATTGTGAGGTGCATAAGCTGTCCGCCATATAATTATTTTTAATTTATATAAACGTCGAGCATTGGCAACATAGGGATATCGACAACTATCCTTTTTGCACTAGTGATTGAAAAACTCCAAATTTTAGGTTCGCAAACAGACGGCTCTTAGAGTCAAAGCCGGGGCCGTAAGAGCAAGTTGAGAGTCGTATCGGTTCCGGTGATATAGTAATGCAATGAATACATGCAATACACTAAATATATCATTGTATTTCAACAGTATAGCATAAAATATTAACTAAACTAACATTTTACTAATGATTTATAATGAAAAATAATAATTATTGTTAATTTTATACATATTACTATTGAAATACTAGAGCCGGAGCCGGTGTCGCGCAACCGGCTCCAAAATTCCAATCACTACTTTGCACATTAGTTGTAAAGTAGATAGTTTTAAACTGGTAAATTTTAGGAGTAACATCTATTGTTTTACATAATTGACTTTCTCAGATGTTTTTTAAATATTACCTAAAACAATTATGTTTTGTTCAAAAATTCATTTATTTTAAGTAATACATAATTAATATAATTTAAGATAAACATGTTTTCTGTATAATCAACGGAGATATAAAGATAATAAGCCAATATTATAAATAAAATTACATAATATATAAATTAAATTATAAACTATAAATTAAAAGTTACCTTTCAAGTTTAGTAATATCTGCCACTAGATTTCTGGCGCACTCATCTGGGTAAATATTTATAAGCTCGTAACATTCAGGTTCTAGTTCCATTGTTGCACTTGGTAATAATTTTAAACTTCTAGTTTAAAGTTAAACTAATTTATGTTTGTAAAAATATGTTTAACAGATTTATATAAATTAATTATTGCCTAATAATTATGACATCTATAATATTCACGGAATATTACAAATCAATATCCTGTTGTGAATAAGTGCTATTTAATCAAAATATGCACTTTTAATATTGTATTATTTCATCACATTATAGATGTTATTATTGTTAGAATATTCTCAAAAAATTTCACAATTAAAATCTTGTTTACATTAATAAATATTAAAGATAAGTAATAAAAAAACAATTACAAATGATTAGACAATTTTAGCAGTATTTAAAATATAATTTCTCAATTCTTATAAAAATTAATATTTAAATGTATTTTTTTTGTAAATAGCAATTATTTTTGAGAATAATTTATATTTTGAGGATTTTGGTGTACATTAATTAATAGTTGAATATTCACCAAACACATTATAATACATTAAAATAAACAATCTAAAAAATATATTCAAATTTTAAGTTTAAAATCATAAATATTTTAACGAGCATAATGCTTTAATAATAAACACTCACTTTATAAGTGTCACCTCTGTGTAAAAACTATGACACTTTAAAAGTGAGTGTTTATTATTAATAAGGCTAGGAATGATATTTTTAATGAATATTTCAACATGATTCATTTATGATATACATATATGCAAGACATACAAAATTACACTTTAATATATAGTTTTTTCCACTAAAGTCCCACTAAAGTCTCAGCCTTAATTATTAAAGCACTATGCTTGATCATAGCTAAACCATGCAGGCATAAAATGTTTGGGCGACTATCGTGGGTTAGAATATGGCCATTAGCCCGGTAAATACTACTATCCTATTTCTATAATACTAAACTACTGTCATATCGGCATTAAATACAATTATCTCTCGGTCTATATTATATAGACTAAGAATCACCAGAACTTTTATTTCTAATGAATTGTGATACACTATAAAGCATAGTGTCCAAAAGATTGAAAAAAGATTAAACCATTTATTCCCATATAACCGGACAATATTGAGTAGTCAAATATAACGTTACGCTATATAGAGGAGAGGGAGGGAGAGATTGTGCACAAAAATATTTACAAAAAAGGCATTTATTTTGTAAATAAAATAACGATATATAATGATGATCCTTTGTAGATAAGGAGGGCACAACATATATTATGTCTAGGTAATTCAGTAAAATTGGACATCTTGCTATAAAGGTTACCGTTAAACTGCACATCACATGCCCTCTCAATATAAGTGAATGTTTTTAAAGCGTAAATCATTTGTGTTTGTAGAAATATGAATCACAAATTTTATTAAACCTTATCACATATTAGTGTACATTATATATGACTGAAATACTATTTTTACTCCTAAATGTGCTTCTATATTATTGATGTTCAATCTAGTGAAGCCACATGTTCAACTAAAATATCTAACATAAATATATCCGATTAAATTGACAATTGACAGACATTTTACATTATAATTAAAAATAATTATATTTAATATAAGGGCCACGTGTTTAACATATTTTGGATCTACTTTTAATTGTGAAAAAAAATTTTCTCTAATCAAATCGCTTAAAAATGACAAAACTGATAGTATTTGAACAAAAAAAAAACATTAAGATCACGTTTGAAAATATGGTAATCAAATACGATTGAGTCAAGTATTAATAAAATTGTTGAAAACTGCAAACAATATTACAAATCTCATTAAAAAGTGTATTTAATAAATAAATTTTGTTTTAAATGACGTTTTGTAGATGGACTGAAAGCCAACCACTATAAAAATAAGTGAGAAACTATTAGCTAGACCTTTACGCGAAGATTCTTGTTTAATACTGACAAACATATACTTTTTTACTGACCGATGCGCCACCTTTTTATAGCATACTGCGAATCTGTACCTGTGATATACTAAAAAAGATTGAACATCTATATTCTATATAATGATCATAACTTAAATATATTAATTTTAACTATAACGATTCTAAAAAAGTCACTTTAATATAACTGAGGCTGAAAAGAAACTATAATAAAACTGAAAACTTCTAAACTTCTTTTACTGTACATTGAGATAAGTAAAATGTAAACTTTACTTATAACTCAGGTTTTAATTCAGAATAACTAGTTTTAAATGTTATTTAAAAGAGCTTTAAATGTAATAAAAAATTTAAAAATTAAGTTTTATTAATTAATTATTTTTATTTTATTTAAATAAGTTAAGTTATCTAGAATATAAATTTGATCTATTATGTTAAATTCACAGCAATTTATTTTTAAAATCTGAGCAAATTAAAAATTTATTAATAAAATAAATAAGCAAATTACTAAAATAATTTGACCATGGACACCAAAACGGTCACAATGATTGTACTGTGGACAACGGTAAGGGCACCACTACATGTTTGCTCAGGTTTGTATTGGTCCGCTTTACAATCACCATCGTTGTATTTTTTTCTCAATGCATCCAATTTAGTATCAAATTCTAACAATTCAGTGGCATCGCATTTAGCCTACAATATAACAAAGTTGTTAGTATAATATGCATGTAAATTTATTATTGTTACTTTAGTTTTGATAGTTTATCAATATAAAATTTAGTTTTAAATGGTAAGGTAAAGCAACGTTATTACTTAAAACTACAGTAGTACTACTATTAGTGAATGATTAATTAATAATAACAATTACCTAATTAAAAATTAATTGGTAACTTATTTTATTACACTATTAGTAGTAAACTTGAAACAACACAATTAAAATATTTAAAGTAGTAAAAATAATTAATTATTATAGAAAGCAGCTAGGCTAATTATTATAATAATTGTAAATTACCTTTGAATAAACAAGGAAACAGTCGTAGAACACGGAAACACCGCAACACCGGTGCTTCACATCGTCGACACCAGCCTTGTCTTTCTCGATGTCAAACCCCGATTGTTTATCGGCAGCGCATTTACTACCATCAGCTTTTGCTTTCACATAGCAGGCATTGGCTTTCAGGTCCGACAACTCATCTGAGTAGACGGCGCTCACCAACACCAACAACGCTAAAGTACACAGGGCGATTTTGCACATTTTCGGTTAGTTGTATTTGTTTAGTTAGATTTAACTAAAATTGTAGTATTGTTTTTTTGTAAGTTTGCAATTTATTTGGCAAAACTGAATTGAATTCTGATGATGGTGAGTAGTGGCTATTTATGCGATTTTTTTGGTATTGTAAAATGTATATGTCTTATCTAATCTAGGTAACATTAGTCAGTGGTGTATTATTTTAGGGACTCAATAAATGTAATCTATTATGTGTGACTCACCTGGATCGTATTGATCAAGTGACAAACAATTGCCGAAACACCCCTTGACTTATGTAATATTATCAGCACATTAAGTTCATTCTGTAATATTCACATTCATGATTTTATATATATTGTTTATGAGTTAGTGATTGTATTGTTAAAGTATTCTGTATTATTTAATTTTAGTTAAAATATTGGAAAGGTCAATATATTAAATACTATTGTATATACTGGAATGTGAATGTCATGGTCAATTGTATTTTAACGGATCAATTTTAATTTATTAATATTAATTATAATTAAGTTTGCTGATAAAATAAATTACATAATTTAAGAAGTGTTCAAAGTTAGTTAATCTTGTATTTAATATGTTTTTAGATATTGGTACATTCAATGATTCATAAGTAGTAAAAACATTTATTATTGTAACAATTGATATCCTAGAAAATTAATTATTTGTAATCATCATTTTAAAAATCCTATTATTTTTATAATTTGCAAAAATAAAAGAGTATTTAATTAGAAAATAAAAAAAAATTATTTTACAATAAAATGTTAATTAAATAATTAAAAAATTAAATTATTTAACTTTAAATTACTCGGTTTAAAAATAAACTATTAACAACTAATTTAACTTTATACTTATGCCTGCACAATAATTAGAATGTAATATCTAATTTTAATTAATTTATCCCTTAATTTAAATGGCTATAATTAAGTTGTTTCTTGACTTATTTAGATTAAGGTATTAACCTTATTATTTTAATTATTTAGTTGTATAATTAACTTTTGGGGAAATAAATAAATAGTAAATTGATATTAAAATTAAAATTGATTTAGTTGTCAATTATGCACAATTCAAATTATATTATGAAACTGTATTTATTAATCTTGAAAATGGTGAAATTATTTTGTCTGTAACTTATGTGGTTCCGAAGTAATCCTCACGAAAAGAGGTCAACCTTCGGAAACTCTTTGGCACTTTTATTACAATGCTATTCAATGGAAATCACAAAAATAGTGATAAATAAAAATTGTAAAATATTTTTAATTTCTATATAGTTTTAATTTATTTAAATTATTTTTGTATGATAATTATTTTCTTTACAAGATCTAAATAATTTGGCACAATTCATGACCAAAATATCACATTTTCCATTTCCCGTCGGGTAAAAGTGCCAAAGAGTTTCCGAAAGTTAACCTCTTCTGGTGAGGATTACTTCGGAACCACATAAGTTACAGACAAAATAATTTCACCATTTTCAAGATTAATAAATACAGTTTCATAATATACTTTGAATTGTGTATAATTGACAACTAAATCAATTTTAATTTTAATATCAATTTACTATTTATTTATTTCCCCAAAAGTTATAAATAGATTTATATTAAATAAATATTTATGCAAATTAATTAATATTTTTGCTGAAATAAAATTTTAAATTACATAAATGCATATTTAATATTATTAAAATTCTAAATATTCACATAGATCAATCACCTAAATAATATAATATTTATTTAAGTATACTTTAAATGTATGAGGGGTGGGCTGTTGAAACAATATTAGTTAATTAAACTACAATTAGATAAGATTAAAATCAAATATGATAACACACTGTACAAATTGAATAAACAATATATAAAAATACATCCCTATATAATAACGGTACCACCTTCATAATTAAAAATTTCTTATTGCATTTATGTTGAGTAACAATCATTAAAATAATCATCAAATAAAAATTTGTTGATAAGACATTTACAAATTAATTCATACGTAAACAAATAATTGTATATTTTTAGATTGAAGTTCAAAATGTACAGTAGTTAGATTGTTTTTAACTAGTATTGTTTATTAATTGTATATCCAAGATGTACATCTATGTCTATTTTATTAAAAATTATTAAAATAATTATAACTAGTTTAACATTTTATTTTGGTGTTAGGAGAGAAGAGAAATATTTTTTAGTAGTTATAATTTAATATTCAATAATGGCTATAT